AGAGAGAAGCAGTTGGCACCTCTCTCTTTCCTTCGGGCCGTGGAAAAATAATGATGAAGGCAATTCGAAAGGAAAACAATAAAGGGGAGATTTGTTGTAGGAGCAGACGGAAACAAATCAAGGTTTATTGAAAGTAGTCGAATTTGTAACGTCGTTGTTAGGGTATGCATAAATTGCTACGGAAATACGGGGTCCCCTCCCAAGCGGGAGCAGGGGAGTAGCCACCACCTCGGCACTCTATCGAAGCTAGGTGTTCACACAAAGTCTTACGAGGACTAGTCTAGAGAGAGCAACGCAGAGACAAGGAGCGAGGTGGACACTGTGAGGGCTTCGAGTGGTTTGCCAGCTGGAGGAGCGGCAAACAAGTTTGGTCTTTCCCGCCCACCCACCCCTTTCCTTTCGAAGGTGGGGGGAGGCAAGGACCGTTGCAGTTGCTAATGGGCGAAGAAAATGGTAGGGTACCATTTTGGGGACTTGGTCATCTGAGACTACTGCGGGCAGTAAGATTAGCCCCTGCACCGAGAAAAAGAGAATTTGTGGTTGCCGCTCGGAGGAAAGAGAGAGAAGCAGTTGGCACCTCTCTCTTTCCTTCGGCCGTGGAAAAATAATGATGAAGGCAATTCGAAAGGAAAACAATAAACGGAAATTACGATGGTGACATCCACATCCATCCGCCACGATGCAGGGTCGTTTTTCTTCGCTCTCCTGTGGGGGGTTCATATTTGTGTGCGACTAAATTTTCTAGAAACCGAAATCAAACCTTTGGACTGACTACAAACCACTCAGTCTCAGTCTAATGGTTGGGTTTCGGCTCCTAGAAAAGTTAGTCGTGGGGTTGGTGAGCCCCTTCACTTTCACTTCCGAGGAGGGTGACTCCCCTTGCCAGCGCTACTCTCCGTCCAATCTTTGTTTCGCTTCATATCACTTGCCACCCACATTCTGCAGAATGTCCCAGGGTCGACGAGTCCTTGCGTCACCCATACTCTGGCCGGGAGTATCCAGGGTCTCAGGAAAAAAACTTCAAGTGTTCATTCAGCCTGAGTCTCGCCCGACTAATTTTTCGAAAAGCCGAAATCAAGCCTGTAGTGTAATGGGAACACCTACAATAGCCTAAACGTTTTTTTTGCAAAAATGTATCATGGGGGGTACGCCATTGAAATTCAAAGCCGCGGGGGCCCGCTAATGGCCCGCGGTTCTAGTGGGGTCTCGCTTCTCCGTGCGTAAATAAAGACCCCACCGGTTACATGTCCCGCCTGGAGGTACCAACCCCTTGACCGTCTTCAGGGCTCCTGTCACCCTCATTGGTACCCCTACCTTCTTCCGCGTTCCTCTCCCCCCCACCACGCTTTTTCATCCACGGCACGTCGCGTATCGATGTCCGCCGTCAACGTCACCGCTTACTCCATCCGCTTCGGCCTACCCCCACCATCACATATGCCGTCATTACCATGTTCATCACTTCTGGTGCATTGATGCATACGAAGTCTCCTTCTTCCTGCCTCATCCTCATCCAGTACCTCCGTTGGCAGCTCGTACCTCCAATTACCCTCATTTCCATGCACACCCCCGTCGCTGCTTTCGTTGGCCGTCAAGAAATACCGCCTCGAAGGATCCAGCATGGCAATGACGAAAGACACCGCCTTTTTCTTGCTTGCCACCCCTCCCGCCCCTTCCCCAAGATACCACCGCCACCTCCTTGCTTTGGCCAGCTGTGTTGCCTGGAGAATATACATCTTGAACCACCTCCGTTAGACAATCCGCCCGACATAGTAGCCCGGCCAAAGGGGAGTGCGGAAGTCTGGAACGTGTAGCGGACAAAAAGTCCAATTGGGTCCGATGGTTTTGAATGTTCAAGTTTCAACACGACATTTTCTCATACGAGTGTCACCATCCAGACTAGTGTCCTCACGCTTGCCTTGTGATGGCGACACGTCCTATTTTTCTCTTTTCCTTCTGCTTCTAGTGACAAAGACTTTTCTCAAATGTTCGTTCTGGACCGTTCTCTGCCCCTTGCCTGCTTTAATGCAGGAGGACCACAACGATGAAGACAATGGCGGCAGTGACGATGGGGATCGTGCCTATCGTGCTGCTTGCTCTTAGTGGAACCTTGGCCTCCGCCGGCTCGGCTCTCAGTGGCAGTAACGCTCACAAAGAGGTACATCGAGCACTGATTGACTCTTGATGCTTCGCGGCATTGCGTCTTGAAACTGTTTTCAAACCACATGAACAGGACGTAGCGAAAAGGCTTCGCCATCTCAATATTGTTGGCGTTAGTTCTTCGCCTTTCAGAATATTCTTGACGCAGAAGCTGGGGCCATACAAGATGGACCGACTCAGCTTCAAGTTTCCGCTGTACAAGTGTTTCTTCGTGCTATTGCAAAGGTTTGCCAGTCATCCCTCAACATGCGTGTTGTTGACCTTTCGAGCGCTTATCTTCTGTCAACAGGTTGAGCTCAATAGATTTCACGTGTTCACGGCGCCAACGTGCCGCGGGCCATGTTAAGTATGGCAGAGCATCGCTGTCCACCCTCATTGTTTCGATGAGGCCTTAGTGTAGAGGCCTCTGCACACCACTCGTGGTCACGTGCGGCCTCAGGTACCTCAGGTGCAGGGTGATGTCCTTCTCACCGCTTTGGTATATGCCACATGTAGACACCAACGCCAGCGGCGGTGTTCGACCTCTATTTTCGTTGAAGATCTGAGTTGTCACTGGGGAAGCGCTAGTTCGCGGACCTTTGTTTTGTTCGTCTTGATAAAATCGCAGTACAGTGTGGCTTCCACTTCATATTGGGTGGCTACCTGACGCTTTTTGCCCGCCGCGTTTTGGAGTAATGCCTGGTTTTGAACCTATAATGCGACGGATGGCAGCACGACAAATGCCGTTGACACAAGGCTTTAAATGCGGATGAAACCCTTGGCTCGGGCCACTGTTGAGACTACGCGCGCTGCGTCATGGGCAAGTCAAAGGATAAGATTTCTCCGGTTGAAGAGTACGTCGACGTGTTCGTAACCCTTGCTTGCTTAAACCGTTTTTGTCTACAGGGAAATGTGGAACTTCTCGCCGACAATGGAACGATCAACATCAATTTGCGCAGCCTTCAGGCCGAAGGTACGAGGTAGAGGGGGCGACGAACGCCGACAACATGGTATGCTTGTCATCCCCAGTTGGTGAGAGCACGGCGACAACCATTGGCCACATTGCGCACGTGCTCTGTGGTGTCTTCCCCGTGTCCTCAAGCGCGCGTGTATTGAAGCGGACCCGATTATCCTAGAGTACCCTCTGTTCCTCTGCTACTCTCGACGTAGTCGCCCTCTCTGTATGGTTTACAAAGCCGCTTGTCTTTTGCAGCTGTAGACCAGAAAGAGTTGACTTGACGCGGGGATCCTTTGCTCGGAGTAGAGTGGTCGGCGCTTCAGCGCTATGCTCAGGTCGCGCTGAAGTGTTCTGGGAGTGACCTTCGGTCGGGCGAAAGGGCGTCACCACCGTTCATTTCGGTTGACCGCCGAAATGTCTCCATCGAATGGTCTCTCCACTTCCTCCAGACCCTTCTCCGCGGGCCTAATGATATTCACTACCGCCCCTCCTCGATCGATGACGTTTTGTTGGGAGATGATACTATGCCACATCATTATCACTGCCCTCCGGAACCGACCAATCAAGTGAGAGTGCGACGGTGGCCTAAGCCAGCCCCACCCTCAGTAATAGGGCACCGTACAAGTGACTTTCAACAATCGCCCTCCACATCCGACAAACCAACATAGAGCGCGACGGTGGCCGAAGCCAGCCCCACGCTCAGTAACAGGGCGCCGTGCAAGCGACTTCTGATTTTCGCATTCGGGATCCGACTTGAGTGTGAAGCCGGCCTCATGCTGAGAAACAGGGCGCCATACAAAGGACTTTAAAATCGTTTTTCGCACTCCGGACGCGTACAATAACATGGCACGTAAAGTCTGTTGAGTCGCCCCAGGGTGTGTGGTATCTCGTATCACGTACGATTTTTGTATGATTGTTTTCTTTACTTCTCGTTGGTTAGCGGTTCCCCGCGCGTGCTCCTCGGGCCCGCGTGCGACCACGTATGCCGCCGCAGCGGAGCCGCGGCTGTCATGCACAACACCAGCTGAAGAGATCGGTAGCAGTAGAAAAAGGATTCAGGGTTTCGCGGCACGCTTGGCGCGTCTCATTCTCTACAGCACCCACATGACAAAGTGAGCCTCTACGACCAGATGTTGTTGCGTGCCAGCCAAGCGTGTTCCGCGCCAGGTGCCTCACATCCAGCCCGAAGGACGAAGACACTACTGCTTCATGTGCCCACCTGTCTACGTTGGCCGATGCCCCAATCCTTTGACGTGCTCACGTACTCCGTGTCCTCTCTCGCGCTCACGAGCGTAACAGTCGACGACTACGGCCCACGCGTGCTCTCTTTGCTAGTATCCAGAGGTATTGGGGGCGCGCGAAATTTGCCCACATGTCTGTAGGCAACCGTAATGCATTACAATTCTTGCCGTTACAACGAACGTCAGTTTATTCCGTGTCCGACAACAGCTTCGCTCGTTCGTTTGCACCACGTCATGGCTTATGTAACAGGGATGCCTGTCGCGCCCATTTGAAATCATTCTGCTGTACGTCAGCGCATGTTGTCTTCATCTGCAAAACAGACATCGACTCTTTGACCGATCTGCAATTGACCACGTCTCGTACCGTCACGTTTTCTATGTGCTTTGCTTGACTAACTGTCGTATCTGTAAACATTGATCAAGGTAAGCCGTAACGTGAGTCTCAAGCGAGATAGCTCGCCAAAGACGACGCCAAGTTCCAGGGGTGCACGACCGACCAATATATACGGTTGTTCCGCGTCTGCCGACTTTAGCTCACCTCTCCTAATACGCCTGTGGTTCAAATGACGTCTTCACCTCAAACGAGCAGTTGAGACGTGTGACGGCGGAATTGTCGGCATCCAGCAGAGCGACATATCCTGCTCCTCAAGCTGCGGGTCTTGCGGAGGTACCGGGTGCACTTCCCGAGACGGTGGATCCGAAGCCTGCTGTGGTGGAGGAGTCAGGGCCTCCGGTCGCTATTGCTCTGTAACGGGAGAAGCTCCCTGCATGACCGGTGAGCCTATCGCAAACGCTCCTCCGAGTTTGAGACCTCGGTCACTGCATATGTATGGGTTCCGTTCCGTGCCCCCACTCGGGTTTGGAGAGGTACTGTAGTTTAAGCGTTGAAACGTGATGTTCGTACTGACCAACCAAGACCTGACGAACAACTGAAACGGCCATCTAGAATTTAGCTTCTCAGTGAACCATAGTGTATCTTGCAGGTACAACTCTCTTCGTTAATTCGTTAAGGCACTTGTTGGCACTATAGGGTCAGACCACAACGGAAACAGGCGGAACTATCTGAAGCCTAACGTTCCGGTTCTATGAATCGATATATGCCGTTGATTGTCCTCTTTTTTGGCAACACGGCGCCAACAATACTATGAACGGATCTGCGCCATTATGAAACAGGCCCGGCCCCTACGCCGGAACCTACGCCGGCCCCTACGCCGCCCCCTACAGATGAAGGTAAGCGGTGCTGCGTTGCCGCCTTGCGCCAAACCCGACAGTATGTCAGATATCTTGCCGACCTGAACACCGTCCACTGTACACGACTTGATAACCGTGGCTCCTCGAAACTGCAGGTGCTTGGTGCAGCAGCTTCGATATCCTGACAATGATCAGAACAGCAAGACTGACAAGGGATTTGAGCACCCCGTCGTAGCTCATGTAGCAGGGGCGTCCGTCGCGCCTATATTGAACGGTTTCGGTGTAGGTAAGATCATCTTGTGTTCCATCAGCAGCACGACATCGACGTTTTGACTGATGCTCAAAATGCCCCCACGTTTCGCTCTATCACAATTTGTATTATCTGTGAGTGGGCTTTGCTTGACTGACTGAACGATAGCTGCCCACAACACCAGGTGCCGGGTAGTGCGGGATTTACCATTTATGACGTCTGCGCGGCGTCTTCTCACCTAAACTCAACCCTGCGAAATGGAACGCCTGTGACATGAATCGCGTCTTTATCCGAAACGAACAGTTTCGATGTGCGACGGCGGAATTGTCGGCATCCAGCAGAGCGATATATGCTGCTCCTCAAGCTGCGGGTCTTGCGGAGGTACCGGGTGCACTTCCCGAGACGGTGGATCCGAAGCCTGCTGTGGTGGAGGAGTCAGGGCCTCCGGTCGCTATTGCTCTGTAACGGGAGAAGCTCCCTGCATGACCAGTGAGCATATAAACGCTCCTCCGAGTTTGAGACGTCGGTCACCGCATATGCGTTCCCTTCCGCACCTTCACTCGGTTTTGGAGAGGTACTGTAGTTTGAGGGGGTAAAACGTGATGTGCGTACTTACCAATCTAGACCTAACGAATAATTGAGACGGCCATCTAGAATTTAGCTGTTTCGGGATCCTATACGTATCTTGCAGCCACGATCCTCTTCGGTCAGGCACTTATTGACACGGCAGTGTTCAGACCACATCTGAAACAGGCAGCGCTATCGGAAGCCTAACTTCCAGTTCTTGCATCATCGATATATGCCGTTGAACGTCCTCTTGTCTGGCAACACGGCCCCAACAGTACTATGAACGGACGCTTGTACCATTTGTGAAACAGACCCGACCCTTACGCCGGAACCTACGCCGGCCCCCACGCCGCCCCCTACAGATGAAGGTAAGCGGTACTCCGTTGCCGCTTTGTGCCAAAACCTACGGTATGTCTTGAGCATCAGATACCTTGCTGACCTGAACACCGTTCACTGCACACGGCTTGATAATCGTGGCTCCTCGAAACTATACGTACGTGGTGCTGCAGCTTCGATATCCTGATGATGATCAGAACGGCCTGCCGACACGGTCTGTGAGCTCCCCGTCATAGCTCATGTAGCCGGGACCCCCGCCGCACCTTTTTTAATAATTCTGACGTGCTTTAGGTCAGCGAGTGTTGTGTTCCATCGGCAGAACGGCCATAGACGTTTTGACCTATCCGCAAAAATGTCCCCACGTTTCGCTCTGCCACGGCTTGGATTATCTGTGAGGGTGCTTGACTGATCGTCGATATCTAAACAAGTGCTATGGAGAGACTACGCGAAGCCGAAAAAAAAGCTTCAAGCTGACTCAACTCGCAGACAACGACGCCAGATCCCAGCGAGTGCGGGGTTGACCATTTATGACGTCTGCGCGGGGTCTTCTCCCTTGAACTTAACTCTGCGAAATGGAACGCCTGTGACATGAATCGCGTCTTTATCCGAAACGACCAGTTCCGATGTGCGACGGCGGAATTGTCGGCATCCAGCAGAGCGATGTATGCTGCTCCTTAAGCTGCGGGTCTTGCGGAGGTACCGGGTGCACTTCCCGAGACGGTGGATCCGAAGCCTGCTGTGGTGGAGGAGTCAGGGCCTCCGGCCGCGATTGCTCTGTTACGGGGGAAGCACCCTGCGTTGTGACTGGTGAGTCTAGAGTATCGAACGGCGCTTTGTTCGAACACCGAAGTGACGAACTTACACTCTTGGAAATTATGTCGTTAGAGTTGACTCCTCCGACTTTGGACCCTCAGTCACTGCAGAAATATAACATTAGCTCCCCAATGCTCTCACTCGATATTGGAGAGGTAGTTCGAACGGTGGGAATCTTGATGCTTGTGCTGAGCATTCAAAACCTAACATTAAGTTGAAACGGCCAGCTCCAATTCTCTCCGTTCAGGCACTTGTTGATACGGCAGTGTTCAGACCACATCGGAAACAGGCAGCGCTATCGGAAGACTAACGTTCCGGTTCTATGCATCATCGACATATGCCGTTGAACGTCCTCTTGTCTGGCAACACCGCGCCAACAATACGATGAACGGATGCTTGCACTATTTGTCAAACAGGCCCGGCCTTCACGCCGGAACCAACGCCGACCCCTACGCTACCCCCTACAGATGAAGGTAAGCGGTGCTCCGTTGCCGCCTCGTGCCAAAACCTTTAGTAAGTCTTGAGCATCAGATATACTTCACACCTGAACACCGTCCACTGTACACGACTTGATATTCGTGGCTCCTCGAAACTGTACGTGCTTGGTGCTGCAGCTTCGATATCCTGATCATGATCAGAACAGCAAGACTGACCATGGGTTTGAGCACCCCGTTATAGCGAGGGGTTTTGAGCACCCCGTCATTGCTCATGTAGCAGGGGCGCCTGTTGTGCCTATGTATACGAGGTCAGCGGATGTTGTTTTCCATCTGCAGGACGGTTATCGACTCTTTGACTGATCGACGAATTTCCCCCGCGTTTCGCGCTGTCTCGTCTTGATTTTCGGTGAGTGCGCTTTGCTTGACCGACACCGTATCTCTGAACTACCTGACGAAAAACTGAAACCGTCAGCTAGAATTAAAGCTCCTCAGTTTAGCCGGATTCCCGAGTGGTACGAGCGGTCCCGAGGGTCGTTTGCCCTCCTCCTTGGACCCTGTATGTCCCGTGACCAGAAATGAAGCTAGAAACAAGCGTTTGACAAGCGTTTTGAAAAACCTCAAAGCAAAATGTGTGCACGTTTTCTGAGTCGTAGTCAGTATGACGGCGATGAAGTTTTCCACGTTCTGGCCTCCCCCCAAACTCATGGAACACTTGTTTTCTTTCCCTCCGTCTGTCTTTCGTCCGATATTTCTTCCCCCTTTGTTGGCATCGGCTCTTTGTTCCGTCATGTGTTTCACAAGGGGCGGCGCCTGTGCCGTCGTCAGCGTCAACTCCCACACCAATGATTGCCCCGGTCTCAGGTACGTGTCCCTGAGTCGCCACCGTGGATCACCAAACGTTTTGTACGTGCAGGTATTCAGTTTCCTTCCGACCGTTCCACATATACGACCGGCAATCTCGGTGTAACGGTAGCCAATGGCGATAGTTTGTCAGCGCGTGACACACTTGCTTGCCCGGCATGGATAGCTGGATCACATCTGAATTCCTCATATCTACCCACGGTGTGGACGGTTGATTTCCCTGTTTGAGAAATCGCCATCATCACGTCTTGCAGTCGGTGTATCATTTCTTGATGACTCCAAACCAATCTCAAAACGTCCTCGTTGCCGTCGCCATTTCCTGTCCAAACTTCCCACGCGGGGGGTCCTACGCGTGCTCGCTATACTTCCGCGGCATGTACGGTGAGTTTGCTTGACCGAGCAACATGTTCAGTTGGTAATCTAGCTGGCACCTCATCGTAGTACCGCCCGTTGGTAATTTGAGTTACAATAAAGGGAAACCTTCCCAACTTGAGCTTTTGGAAGCAAAATTGTCTTGTGCCAACTGCACGGGTGGCTGTGGTAGGCTCTTGCCTTTGACCATTCTGCCCCAACTTCGCCGCGCATGTGCCCTACGCGATCTTCCGCCGATTTTTGCATTTCAGGTAATACCACTTCGGCCCCCACCACCTCGGCCCCTACCACGTCAGTAGTTCCTACCAACTCCTCACTGGAGTTTGTAAGTACTGTGCGAATGGAAGTTGGAGATGACATTACTATTTTGGGGTGTTCAGATTCATGGATCTATGTGGAGTCGCCAACTTCACCTACCATTCAACCAGATGAGCTTTTGCTCATTATGAATGGTCAAGAAGGCGTGTCATATGCAGACACCCTGGTTGATTCGTGTGAATGTTTTCCCCTAATGAGGAAGATTGTTGGGATCGAAGCTTCTCAAGAGCACAGTGGGATTAGTTGTGCTGGGTCGAGTTGTTGGATCCTGACCTCAGAATTGCTGACCCCGCTTGACACCGTCTCTGGTACGGATGTTGATGACCTCGGTTTAACCGAGCTCCAAGACGTTCCCTGGGAGTCTCTCGCAGGGAGCATATGTGTTCCGAGTGAGATCAATGGTCGTAAACTGTTGGGGGAATGTAGGGATGCATGGGAAGGTCCACCTTGTCCCTACAATGATTGTCCGGATGGCAAATGTTATGAATGTTCGTCAAACCCGAGCGGTTGTGATAATGGATGTGGTCCGGCGGATTGGCCGAGTGCAGCTACTAGAATTATCGCAGAACTCACACCGTTCGGCAACGGGTGTTGCAACCATGACTACTGCTGGTCTGCCAGACCTGACGACAAGAGTGGCTGTGATTTGGAATTTTGGGGGGATAACCTCGCCGGATGTTGGACTACTTTTGGGTTTCTTGCGATTATTAACCCTAAACCCTTAGCCGCATGTAACATTGTCGGCACAGCGTTTTATCTTGCTGTTGCTCTGGGTGGGAATGACGCCCATGAAGAGGCCGTCCAGAAACAGCGAGATTGGGAAGAAACCTGCCAAGCCACACCCGCACCCTCTCCCACGCCCGAACCGGTAAGCCTCCCTATTGGCCGGTTATCGTTGCTGGAAATTCGAGACGGATCTCCCTTCCTGCGATCGTACGCGTATTTCTCGTATTCGTTTGCTCCGAGCCGTCGTTTCAAACTACAGGAGGTATTCCGCGCTAGGGCTCTGCCGGGTCATTCGGGGACAACAATCGCGCCGGCACAGTCTAACACGTGCCTAACATACGATACACACGCTTTGGAGGGCAGAGCGTACCCCGGCTGCCTCCAGCCAGGCTGGAAACGTGGATCGGTCCGGGCCACACATGACATTGAACGAATGAAGTACCATCGACAATTGATTAGGCCATACGAACTGCTGTACCAGTGCTGAGTTTGGTGTTTCGGCGGATAGGCCGGAAACAGCACGATGTCGATGCCTAGGCCGAGGGAGCCGTAATGCTTTGGTTAATCCACCGTAGTTTTCCCCCACTTGTTGCTGATCTTATCAACAACCACATGGACATAAACTTACCCGCTCTTTCAACCCACCCCCTTCGTATCATTCTGCCGGTCGCAATCCATCTTCGACCCCTTCCTTCTTCCCGGTTTCCCGTGCAGAAACGCGGTAAGGAGAGATGGAAGAAGCCTCCAGCGTAATATATTTTGTCTGATACGCGCTTTCGGCGTATACTGAGAGAGTTTAAGGCGTACCCCACTTGTGGCCGTGGCCTCGCCGCCCAAGCCCATGCTTGACCTTCTACCGATGACCTGTTCCACCTTGTCTGGCCTGCAATGTCAGGTGGATCCGCAGACGGAGATCCTCACTTGCGGGTCTACGACGGCACCGGGTACGACTGCCACGGGCAGGTCTAGTTTGTGTTGACCAAGGCTGCCGCCACGGAGAGCGAAGTCCAGGCCCGTTTCCAGCAGTGGAGCCAAAACCCGGACCCAGCGGTCACCGTCACCACCGGCATCGCAGCGCGCGAGGGAACCTCTTCTTTGATCCAGGTGACGACGGCTGCCTCCGGCGGTGTCGAGGTCTTGGTGGATGGAGAGCTGTACGACGCGAGTGCTTCTTCTGTCATCGGAATTGCGCTCGAGGTCACGTCGTCTCGGGTGGAAATTAGCTTTGAGTCGGGACTAGACGTGTTCGTGTCAACCAGCATTAACGGAATGCTGAGGGTCAACGCGTATGCGCCCGTCAGCCTCGCCACTACGGGTCTCCTCGGCAACAACAACGGAGAGCTGGGCGACGACTTTACGGTGAGCGTGAGAAAAGACCTGGCGAATCAAATCATGCAACGATTTTTTCAGTCATGCACTGCGGTTATGCCTCACCAAGACCTCGGTTGGTGCTGCATTGTGCGTTGTACCTCTGCCAGCATCTACATGAATTAAAGGCCGCCGCTGTTTGCTTCAACTTGAAGTGTTACCGAAGTACTTCCGCGACTCTTGTTCCTCCCTCCCGTCAATTTGTTCGCCGATAACCGGTGTTGTCCGTGCGTCGAACTTGTGCCCGTCTGCACTTACTGTACCCCTCTCTCCCTACTCCACACACCTCATCGAGTAGAACAGGAGATATTTTGACGCTTGAGGTCCCTCCCCTTGCTGAACGCGGCAGACCGTGGACGGAGAGACTGTCGGCTTCGCGACTGCCTCACCGACAGTGGAAGAAGGCACGAACTACTGCACCACGAACTGGTGCACCACGGCAGACGCGTCTCTCTTCACCTACGCGGAGGGGGAGGACCACGGCACGTTCGACTTGTGCGACGCGGTCTACGCGGCGCCCGTGTTGCCCGATACCATCCCGGCGTCAATCACAGAGGTACGTTCGGGAGAACACATCGGGTTTCGGCGAAATACCAAAAACTCGAACACATGTCCTCGGGGTCCCTGGGGCGCACTGTAGCTGGCCGCGTTTGTTTTGAGTGCGATTCGACACGGTTACATAGACTACAACGTCGACATGTGCCCTCCATGAAGGAGCAGAGCTGTTTTCGTGATCGATCGCACAGTAGTAAATAGAGCGTCAGGGGCTCCCATACTTCTCGTCATCATGCCTACCCGAACTTGGTTCTCCCCAGCGATGCCATGTCGACCGGTTCACTCCTCCCGCCACTTTACGTAAAAACTTATCTCAGCTATGCGGCGACAACGCCGACTGCATCATAGACGCCCTTCTTGCTGGCGAGGAGGTGGGTCAGGCGACGCTCGAAGGACAAGCGGAGGATCGAGCCTACCAGGAAGAAGTTGCGGGCAAGTGTACTGATGGCGGTGGTGGTCGTGGACTCCGTCGTTTCCCTTTCCAATGCGCCTGCTCCTGCCAAATCAACCCAGTTTGCAGCATGGATGAAGCGGTCTGCGTAGTGAAAATATGAATCAAACGCTCTCTTACCCTTGACCACATGTGGTACACGACTTGCGTGGATCCTGCATCATTGTAGCTGGTGGTGGCGAGGGTGGGTTGTTGAGTCTAAATAGGTCCCCTGAAGAGACCTTTTTTCACAGGTTGGACGCAGGCTAGATGTACCGGCGACTGATTTAGTCACATAGAAAACTGAATAGCGAAAGAACCTGGGATAACGGGTAAATGGATAATTGCAGGTCAAAGAGAAGAACTGCGCCGCCGGTTGGTTTGGGAGAAACCTTGATCTTCTCTAGCGACGCGCTTGTTATGGCGACTGTTTTTCGGAATCCCTCGCGCTGAACGGGGCCTGTCATCACTACCGCGTAGCTGTGTGGTGGAAACCTGACAAATTACACGCCTTTTAGGCGGGTAAAAGCCGTCGATGCTGGCAGCAACCGGGTCAAAACGCAGCCCTTGTGGCATCAACACCCGCAGTCACCGCCAACTCTGCCAGGCACATTATGCAACCTCGATCTCGAATTAAATTAAGCCCCACGCGTTGTTTGCACCAAACGTACCTGAACCCACGAAACAGGTTTGTGCGCGAGCAACTCTTTCAGCAGCACCGGTGCGCCGCCCTGCACGACTTGCCCCGACGGAGAGGTTTCCGGCACCGGCGCGACCGCGTGCATCCGTCAAGGTGCAGTCAATTTTGACCTACTGAGCCTGTAGCCCCGAACGTTTGTGCCCGAGCGCAGTCTAAAGCCGCTGGCTGCGTTCAAATGCCGCGCACACAACATGGCATGAAGGAATTTCCTGAGAACAACCATGTACGTTATTGGGAAAATTGTCAGCGGTCAGGCGTTGGAAGTATATACGCCGATGTTGAGGCGCACCTGCCGCCAAACCTAACGGTGTTCGAAATGACATGGAGCTGGCAACGGACTGCTGACTAAGGTATAGAACTCACAAAGAATGGGGCTGCTGAAGTGTTCAGGAGGTTGTCTCTTCTCCTCCATTAACAACCTCCTGGAGAGGCAAATTGCGACCCAAAGCTGGCTACAAGACATTGTTCAACACCTTATGACATGCACCACATTACGTTCGTGCGTCAACGAGGGACGCAGCATACAAGAACCTACGCTTTCCTTCGTATGTATTGCAAGTTCTCGTTACCATCGTGTGGCTCTTGCTGACGCCGTGAAACCCTTGTTGCTCTCGCGTTGCTTTTCCTTTCCAGAGCTCGTGGGTCTGAGTCTCCCCGAGAACATCGCCGCTGCCATGGCAGCTGACGTAAGTTTGCTTACACGCAGCTCTATCTAGCTAGCAATAGCGGTGCGAAAAATGTTCACCTCTCGCGATCCTATGTTAATGGTGGCACGCTTCATGGCTCGCGTGTCCGTACCATGTTGTTTATCACTGAACGAGGCCTTTGAGACGTCGTTGGCCAAGACGCCGTTGGTATCGAAATCTGTTTGTTCCCGCGAGGACATGGATCGTGGTCTCTTGGTCGCATCTCTCCGCCTTGGGAGCACCGCACCAGAAGCTGCCAAGCCGTCAGGTAGATACGGCCATGCACAGCCGAGCTCTACGACATGTAGCGTGCCGTGGACACAACATCGGGCCCATCCGGCCGGTGGCCCGTTGCAGCTTCTTGTCCAGGCAGACCACCGTCACCAAGTTCGTTGGCACAGAAGTAACGTTCGAATTTGAACGAGAAGTTGTGAAGGTCGCATAAAAACCCCTCCTGCGTACCGTGAACTTCTCCATGCACAGGCCATGGGCGGCTTTGCCGGCCCGGGATCCCTCACCACGACACCGGCGGGAACGATCCAGCTCACCGAGGAGGACGGCGGCTCCGTGTCGCTGTCCGGCACTTTCGTTCGCGACGACGGCGCGGCGCTGCCGAGCTCGACTTCCGTCTTCATCTACACCGAGAACACGGCACAGCCGGACGACTTCGTCCGCGGCCAGGAGGCACTGGATCCCTCGACGGGGGCGTTCTCGACGGTGGTGACCGACATCCCAGCGGGCAGCAGCAGGTTGCTCCTCAGCTTCGTCGTCGTGGATCCCGCGGAGGCACTTGATACCGCGGGAGCCGACACGGCGTTTGCGCTCGACGTCTCCAACTCTGCCTGCGTACCGTCGCTGACGATCACCCTGGAGTGGACCGGCGAGATATCTGACGTAGATCTCTATGTCGTCGAGCCCGGCGGAGAGGTCGTCTACTTCAGCAACCGGGGTGGGGTAAGCGAAGTGCCGAAGGAAAGAGTCGTTTCAGGCCCGTCTGACCGGCCGTTGTGGCCTGTTGCCGTTGGATGTCAACTTGGGGAAGTCGAACATGCGTTAGCGCGCAAGGGTCGGCCGCACAGCAGTGTTCAGTGGCATCAAGCGTAGCCGTGAGCACTCCCTTACAGTACCAATGATGGAAGCTGTCGTCACTTATTGCTTATCCCCGCCTCTCCTCACGAACCTGCTGCTGATTCCGTAGGACGTCGGGTTCCTCGACAACGACGATACTTACGGGTTCGGGCCCGAGAACTACATCATCGATAGCGCACTCGATCCCGCCGCCAGCCAGGTGCTTGGCGAGTACGAGACGTACGTCAAACTCTACTCAGGCGACGCGGCCACGGAAACTTGGCGCCTGACTGCCCGCGTTTCCGGAGAAGTGGTGTGGATCGAGGAGGGTGATTTCATCTCCTCCACCCAATCTGATACTTTTGCCGTCTCTCTGAGTGTCTACGATCCCACTTGCGGAGGTGTCCCGTGAGTTGCCAACTCACCGTCCCATTTCAGCAACACCGCCGGCTGTTGCAGAGGAGCAATGGCAGCAGTTTGAGAATTCCGCCAGGCGTTGCCTGAATTCGCCGCGAGGAAGCCCCTCCACGGAGCAGAGAGCGAGCGAGCGAGAGAGAGGACCATTTGTGGTAATTGGCGAAGAGTGTCTATGTGCCTTCCAGGTTGCATCATGCTGATTTTCTTACGAACCCGCTGGACCAAGGGGCATTCTTCTTGCACAGGCAGCGATGAACCTCTAGCTAGCGGTTTCACGTACCTTTATGTGTACCTTCTAAATAAGTGTTCTGATTGTGACGTTTCTGATGGTGAGTTTTGAGATGCAACGTGTGGTACCATCCCAGGATGAAGGTCACGTGAGGCTCAGACTTGGAGATGCCTGAGGTAACTGATTCGGCTACCGTGGCAACGTATTGTGCGTGTAATCTAGAACCAGGTGCAGTGTTTTTCATGGTTTTTTATTGCAGCGGCACTGCGTACAAGCATCATGGGGGGGGGGGGTGATGTACCATGCTCCTTGCACACAGCAGTGCAGATTTCCGTGCTTTCCGTTGGCCGTGCGTCCGCTTTGCCTATGCGTGAGGGAGCAGGCGGGGGGCGAAGATTGAAAGCCGTGTGTTTTGAGATTTTCGGTAGTCTTGAGATGGGAATTTGATTGTTTGATATAGTTGCTCAACGTTTCACGTTGTTAGCCTTCCTTATACCTGAGGGAGTAGGGGGGCCGACGTAAAAAACACCAGTTAATATATTTTGTTTTTTTTGCCCTTGAGCAGTACTTGTGTGTGATTGCATTGCTTACATTGCAACACTGAGGACTTGGGAACGTTACTTGCGCCTCGGTTAAGGATTGCCCCCCCCGCCCCCCAATGGGGCTGGGGGCCAACATCCAGGACGGATGGTGGTGAGTATCCGGGAGGAAGGAAAGAAGAAGAAGGGGAGAGGATTTGTAGGGGCGGGAAGAAGGGACGGTGTTGGGAGAGGCAAGAGGAGTGGTGAAGAATTTCGGCACTCGACGAGCGCGCGGTCCCGTCGGGGGTGAAAGGTCTGTAGTCTTGTCTATCGGAATCGAAAAGCCGAAAAATCGAGGTTTACATTATGAACATAACGATGGAGAAGGCCGACGGTACGAAGAGAGGAAATTGCACCCTACGTTCGAAGTTCGAAGTCGGTGTGAAAATCGCGGCAAGGGAGCGCGAAGGAAAAAAAAAAAAAAGGAGACGTCGACGTTTGTTTGCGTCGTGGAACGATCCTTCCGGATGCCGACCTATGACACTCTCGGAATGTAGGGATTCCTACAAGTTCCAACAGGTATAATCCACAAGTAAGTGCGGACATATGAAGGTACTGGGTAGAGAGAGATCGGAACGGTTTTTAATGTGAAGACACAACAACAACAACAATGATGCGACCCGTCCTGCGTCGTTCGGTGTGACAAGTGCGAAACATTGACTGCGTAAAGATCCAGCGGTCTTTTTCGGCAGTGGCAAAGAAATATACAACCACACGTCGCAAAAAAACAAAAAGTTGAGCGGGATACCGTAGGAAATAGAACACCGCCTTCTCTGTTGTTGCAGCATTTGGGAACGTTGGACACCATCTGTCTGTGTATACGCGTGCTGGGTCGTCCAGATCAATAGCGCGCCCCTTAGAGAGATGAACATGTATTGCAACTGTTAAAAAAGAGGAGGAGACAGAGGTGGCGGCAGAGCATAGAATGAAGTTTGCACAGCATGATGTTACGGATGAACTTGGGTGGCTGCGAGCCCCGGGTTTTGGGGTTTCCGACTGTGGCTATGATCGCGCCGGGTGCACCCGTTTCTTAGGCCCAAAGCTCATACTTGAAACAAAAATCTGCGAAACATTCGATGTGACCATGGGGATCTAGCCAGGTAAATTAATTGCATCCAGCTGCACCAGGTGTCTGTTACGCGAGAAGTGCTTAATTTCCTCCGTACGCCCTTGCTTACATACCGATCGGTATATTTCGTGGATACCACAGGCATTTAGTGGAATATTCCCTGGAAGTTAGTCAGAAGTTAGTCGGTATTGAGCGTGAAAGCGTCACCTTTTCGTGGAATTCTTTGTTGGTCTACATTGTGGCAAGGTTCCAATAGTACCCAGGTAGGTCTGCTGCTGTAAAAAGTTGGACGGGGTTGTTTTTTTTTTTTTTTTTTTATTTCTTTCTTAATCGTTGTTGCTTTGTTGTTGTTGTCTTTCACATTAAAAAAACGTTCCGATCTCTCTCTACCCAGTACCTTCGTATGTCCGTACTGATTCAACACTCGACGCGGTCGATTCCCGTGGTCACAGGTAAACTTACCCTAAAAAGGTACACTCAAATAAACTGGCCTTAGATATGACACAACAAATCGTTTGTTTGTTGTTGTACGCCACAGCTTTCATATCTGAAATAACTTTGCTTGTGCTTCAAGTTTTCGAACATACATCACATGCATTGGATGCACATCGTGAACTGCAAGTTTGTTTTTGTCTTCTTCTGTAATACCGCCAACGACATGCTGCGTTATTGAAGGTGCTGCTGCTGTAGCCTCTACACTACTACAGTGCCATATACAGGTGAACGTCTTTTCCAGCTTCGTGCCCTTGGTATGCTGTGCACAGTGTTCACCCACCACCCTTCCTTTCCTTTCAGCGTAAAACCGCACGCCGTGGGGGTATGCCCCAGAGAGAGGAAAGGAGAGAGTCCAGAGATGGAGGGCCACACCGCTCCGGGGCAAGAACAAAACTCTATGGGAAACAAGGCAAGAACCGGGGTAACTAAAAGTGGTCTCTCCACCGTGTGCCTGTTTCTGCCTCTTATTTCTTGTTATTTTCGGCCTGGTCCCTTTTTGTCCTCGCTCTTTTTCATTTTATTTTCATTTTATTTTCATTTTTTTTTCATTTTTTTTCCCCCTTTTTTCAGACTATAACATTATTGTGTAATGAATAAAAAACGATAATATGGCGTCTCATGGGGGCCCATGAGGCACTATGAGGAACCATGAGGTCGTATGAGCTACCATGAGAACAGGGTCATGGGGTCTCATGTAGTCCCACGAGATAGGCCATGGGGCACCACGAGAGCATTTATTTCCGTGTCAGCCCATGGCATGCCATGGCCGATCTCATGGGACTTTGGGAATAGTGAACCCTTGGTGCACCATGAGGAGACATGACATGGGGATATAAAACAGAAAACGAAATTAATTATGAAAATAAAGGTAAAGTATCGGACCTCATGGTGTACCATGGGCGACCATGGCGCACCACGGTTAAAGAAATAAATACAGAAAGACAAATAAAAAGGAAAGCATTTTTTTGTTAAACAACCTCACGGGGGGTACCACGAACGCCCATGAGTCTACCAAACCTCCCATTGTGCACCACGAGGACCCATGGTCCCTCACGACGGATCATAAGATTTTAGAAAAATAATCTTGAATCAACAAAATATATTTAAGCCAAATATCCTTGAGTAAAATGGCCATGGTGCCCCATGAGATTTCTCATGAGATTCTCATGAGATCCATGGAAAATAAATGTGTGTCAAGGGGCCTCATGGTGCGCCGTGGTGAACCAACCATGGTGTTTCATGGTGGGTCATGGTGGGTCATGAGATCCACAACAACTAAAAAAGAGTTATTTTAGCGTCCCCATGGGCGCCCATGAGAATGTAATGGTGTCTGATGTCCTTCCATGGCACCCCCTGGGGTCTAATGAGACAGCCATCTCATGGTATCCCATGGCACCCCCATGGTGTGTGATGGGGTAAGTCTCATTGTATGTCATGATACATACCCCATGGGGTCCCATGGGGTGAGTCTCATGTTATATCACGAGACCCCATGGTGTCCCATGGGGCACCACGAGACACCACTCACATTGATTCTCATGGGCGCCCATGAGATAACGGCATGTTGGCGATAAGTTTTTTTTTGTTATCTCACGAGAGAGACCCCATGGTGTCCCATGGGGCACCACGAGACACCATATTGCTTCTCATGGGCGCCCATGAGATAACGGCATGTTGGCAATAATTTTTTTTTGTTATCTCACGAGACCCCATGGTGTCCCATGGGGCACCACGAGACACCATATTGATTCTCATCATGGGCGCCCATGAGTAACGGCATGTTGGCAATAATTTTTTTTTGTTATCTCACGAGACCCCATTTTAAAGGAGGTGAAGCCGTGGGCGGTAGCTTGCTCCTAGAGATAGATGAAGGTAGGTTCTGTCGTTGACACGCTTGTCCACGACCACGTTGAGATGGGAAAGTTGCTTGTTATTGCTGAGAGACGATCAGCAAGGGTTGAGGTGAAGTGGGGATCCAACTTCACCTCAGGGGGTACTACGCAGACGAGACCAATCCTAAGAGGGTAGGTGTCTGAAGGGTGTACCTCCTGGGACCGACCCACATCCTATCAACAATAAGATATACCCTATTTAAGCTAGCTGCCACACTCCTTAACACTAGCCCACCCTGAATATCATATATATATGCAGATTCTATAATCAAATCAATGCTCAAATCCAAAAAGCTACAATAAAGATTTTAGCTGACGGTTGATGCTCATGAATCGAAGATATGACTCTTCACAAAACAACCAAAAGGAGGGTGAGTTGTAGAAATATCCCGAATCAACCCCCACACCATCATTGAGACGAAAGAAGGATCGGACGGTCACGAGACGACACATCGACATCTCAATGACAACGCTCATACCAATGAAGGGATAAAGCCAAAAAAAATATGTAGTGCTGCAGAGCACGCTATCCCCGACAGACGACGACAAGGGAAATAAAATCAAAACCGAAACGCCACACACCACTCTTTACGCGCACCCGCGCGTATGACAAACGGGAGGAATGAGGGTGACTACCCGAGAGAGTCCCAAAATACGGCAACAAAACTTAAAACCCAAGCAAATTTCCGAACGAATACGGCCTTTGATACTGGACGCGACGTACAGATG